GATGCAGGATGTTGACAGATAAATCAAAACCACGTTTCTATCTTGTTTTTCCTCATCCTTGGGAACGTCTGAAACGGGTGTTGATGATCACCAACTTCTAAGGAGTCTTTGATAGTAAATACGCCTGGGAACGTACCTTGGTCCTTTACCACCACCACTTTCTTGTCTTTGTTCTTGCATTCAACAGATCCTTCTACGACAATTCCAATGTCGATGTCCTCCGAATTTTTTCGAAACACGCGAAACTTCCAGATTAATGGCAGTAGCTTTGCTCACGTCCAGGGAGATCAGCTCAGCTATTCGACAACGATAGTTCAGGCGAAAGGGAAGGAAGTCACTGAATACGACGAGGTGAGTGAGCAGAATGCCGTCTTGAACGTAAACGAAAAAGGAACTGAGTGTGAGATTCTAGTTTTACAATGTCAAGCGAGGTGGAATATTCAAGCTGAGGGACATTGGGTGCTACACGTTCTCGCGGCGATGGAGCGTAGGGACTCGAGAACGGTGGGAAGAGGGATATCGCGCTCACAGGTCGATATGCACGGCGAGGGTGACAGAGCAGCCGGGAATGGTGTTTACAGTGGTGCAGTATAGTGGGCCGGGGGCACGGAAGGTATAGCATGAGCTGCTTAGCCATCTACATGTTCGATAAATGCTTACCCTCCCTCCAGGCTTTTGATGATGACTTCCGGGGGTTATCGAGAGTGTTGTGCGTGTCGTGTATTTATTAGCCTTCATCGTTGTGAATACTCCGGTCATTACAGGACATCGAACGTGTCCCAAATCTATGGCTACAACAATTCAGATATTCCATCGCTCATATTGTACAACGGTACGTACTAGTTGCATATTGCTGGCGGAGCATTGAACAGGTTCGCTGATGTTTTACCCCAGAGCTGGTGCCCGTTGCACACTTGGAGGGAGATATGGGATTGTTGAGTCGGATGTATCTCTATAACTTGCGCGTGAGTCGTCAGTGTTATATTTAAATGCACCTTAATCAACTGATCACAGTGGCAATTGGGTTGCGGGTCCGATCGTGAATTGTGGATGGATCTTGGGAGAGGTTTAATCTGTCGTGGCCCACCAGGGCCACGCCCCTTGAAGCTCCATCACTGGGGGGACTTTGGATTTGTGGACCTACCTTCAACCGCAACAATCCTGCAGGATGATGTCCTGTTGCGGTTCTTGGCAAGTTGCAAGTCGAAGGAAGTAGACCGCGCCGTCATCGTGGGCGTGTCTCATTCCGGATCGGATCTCTGGGTCGACGACCCGCCCCAACAAGAAGCTCAACCGACCGTGATTTCGATGTCAACGAGTACCCCCATTGCCGTCACAAACAATGACTGGAAGTGCTCGTACAATAGTCTTCCTGGGCGAAAGCTGCTTGACAATGGGTTGACTAGGTGCGTTCGAAAGAACGATCTACCTTTCTATCTGACACCGCCTGAGTAGGTTCACGCTCACTGACGCATCCTATCTTTTGCTGCATTATAATTGGTATGCAAATGAGACCTGGCTATTGCGAGCATGGAACTTTTTCCATGCCCGTGGAAATAATTTGGAGGATGATTTGAGTGTCTACAGTGCGCCGTCATTTTTTTGCTCCCTTTGCGCTTACTGACAGTTTTTAGATCTCGTCTACCATCACGCGTCGCTATCGGGCGACCTTTCATGCTCTAAAGTCCAACGCGAACGACGATTGCGGCAACCTATATATTTGTTTGTCCGTCCGCTTCCTCCTGACTTGCACGGCCACCATCACACGTCTTCCGTCCACCACTGGACCTTTGATGAAGACGGCAAAGTTCCCCTCCCGCACAGTATATGTCACGACCTCGGCCTTCCCATTCAGCTCGAGCTCTACAGTGACGGCTGCTCACGGTATTGGTCCAAAGACGACTACAAACTCTTATATCGCTATCAACTCCTACGAGGCTTCGACCCGACCATGCCCGATTTTGCTCGTCATCTTGGATATGACCAACCCAGTTTCCAGCTTGTGAACGACTCGGACCGATTTCAACATGTTTCTCGGCGGCAATTCGAAAGCGTGTCCAGCTCGTTGCGGTTAGCCTGGCAAGCCGTCTCCATCATTCTAAGGCAATTGTTTTTCTGGTATGGGTGACCGAGACCTTCCGCAATCCGGCATACGATCACGCTGCTTCACGGCGGAGGTGGGGATATTCCTGGAGAGTTCACAGTGTTTAGGGTTGTTTGTTTGGGTAGCCGATTTGTTGGAAGAAAATAGGCCAGATTCTATCTATGTGCGTACATCTCCCCGATTGGTGGATTCCCTCGGCAGCCGTAGTATTTGTCATTAGCGGAATGAGCAAACTAAACCTCAAAAATCGTAGTCTCCGAGTTTGACGTCGGCTGAACGTCCTCACAACGCTCTGGCCCCTGGAGCAGGGGGGAATTTGATGACCGTTTCATTAGGGTGACGCGTCGCGACGCGCCTACGAGCGCTCGAGGCCGGATTTAATATTGAGAGAACCGGGATGCCGAGAGAGCCGGAGCGGAGCGCCCCTGAGTTGACGCTGGTACGGATTAATAATGATTTGAGACCTACGCAGACTATGATCAGTTTAGACCAAGACATTCATTTTTATCTGTCCCTCGTTTTTGATCACAATCCCTGCCTCATCCATCCCTAACCATTCCTGTCTCCGTCCCAAGCACTTTCCAAGCCTGCCCAAGATTCATAGTCGAGCTTGTCGAAAACGTTCTCCAGGTCTTCTTGTCTTCTTAATCCTTGAATTTCGGAGTCGTCCTGGTCATCGTCTCTTACCCTCGAGCTCGCCATGGCCATCTCCTCAGACGCTATTATCATCATAGCGGTCGTTACTTCCGTGGTCGTCCTCATACTAGCAATATCTTCGCGGTTTATTCTGGGCAAGCTCGGTGCTCGTAAGAGCGCACCTCTTCCTCCAAAACAGCCCCTGGCACATCACCGTACGAGCTACTATCAGGCTCCCCAGACGCCGCTGGGCTACTATCACTCGTACAGCGGAGGCAGTCAAGTCAGCTTGGGGAGCAAGGAGAGATTGGAGGAAGTGCAGTCGATTCCATCTTCTCTCGCTCAGACTCCTCTACAAGTATCGCACCTGGAGACGCCCATGCCGTCCTTTCATACTCAGGCGACGAGTAGCGATAGCTCACTCTCAGCTCATTCGTCGTTAGAGGAAGTGCCCTTCCCACCATCCGACCCAACAACTATTCCCACATCCTCGACACACCCTACAGCACGTCCTTCCGTGTCTGGTCGCACTCCACGCTCTCGCCCGCTCTCTCATGTTTCAGTAGCATCTTCTCATCACACAACACGGTCCCGGACATTCAGTGGCCATAGCCATGCACATCAAAGACGGAGTGGTGTCCCTCACGATCCGACGACGGGCGGCATCCAGATTGTATTGCCTGCACCCCTGGCACCCACATATACGGGGGGCACGGGCGGTTCTACTCCACGTGAGGTGTTATCTCTCTAGTTTCACAGCTTTTTGCTCAATCGAATCATCTCCGCAGCGCCTGTACCAACGATTCCTACTCGCACTCCTAGGGGTGGAACCGCTCATGAGAAACGATTATCGTTTGCAGACGCGTGGGCACCAAAGGCAGATCGTGAAAGCTCATTTGGATCAGGTGAGTATCAATTTTGCCGGGACGTGTATTATCGTGAACACTCCACCACATTCACTTCGAGGCCCCCGCCACCGAGTTCAATCTGTCCAGTGTCACGTCCCGGCTCAAACGTTCAACCCTGAATTCTGACTTGCGTCTTCCATCTCTCTAGCTTCAAGCAACAAGAAACTCCACCGGCCTCGATCATCGCTGCGCATATCATATTCTCCTGCGTCGTCTGCGCCTCCGTCACCGACTATGCCTGTTCCCGAGTTACCAGGGACAGGAACAGGAACCCCTCAGTCTCACCTAGGTTCGGCTACGGGCTCAAGGTCTTCCCTCTCATCGTCGCAGAGGAGACCAGCGACAGCCCCACACCGTTACTACACACCCTCACCTCATAGCTCGAGGACAAGTACGCCACTTCCTAGTCCTGGGCCACCACACATTCCGGTGGACGCGGATATGGATCTGGATTTAGAGCGTGGGCAACATGCGGTTTTGGGCTCGGAACCTTTAGAACGTTCGGCTATACCTCACCATAGCCCCTATCCTCCGGAGGGCGAACCTCACCACAGGGATCGACATCGCGGCTCAATATCCGGCGACGTTCCTGTCAACACTAGCGTTGTGGTGGTGTCCTAGGGCGGCGCGCTAGTTGGGACAGTGTCTTGAACGCTTGGCAAAGAAAAGAAGGTTTGACGTCGGGCACGGAACGCCGTTTCAATTTGCGCAGTCGATCGTCTGCCTCTCATGATGCTTGTTTTTTACGAACGTGCAAAAAGAAGACGTCCGGACATATTGGACGTTTCTGTCATTAATTTATATTGTGCTCACTAGCTCCCCCCACCCCATTATCTCAGTGCATAGAATCGTTGGCATCTTATTCGCGCTGCTATCTTGACAATTGACGTTTTCTTACATACATACATACAACAGACGTTTCTGTACATCCTCATGTCACTATTCTCCTCTTTCACGCACACGCTCCCCACGCCTCATACTACCCTACTACCCCCATCATCTTACTAGCCGCTGCACATTCCTACACCACTTGGCTGGTATCAATCAACACTACGCACCTCTTTTGTTTATTCTACAGTCATGACATACTTACTAGGGATCTCAGATGTATATTATATTGGAATTTTGACGTTCTTACGGTTCATGCATACATGTTGGAGGCAAGAGTCGTAAGACTTGCTTCTTCTTCAATGCCAATTTCTATTCTTCGAGTGTGTCATCGGTATCTATACTTTACGGTAAGAGATGACTGGAAGGCTTAAAGGCGGAGCTAATCAAAAAGATGGAAAGGACGGTTCTGTTTTCGAGCTTGTGTGGTTTCTCAACATAACGAAAAAGTTGGATGTGGCTCAAGGTCTAACCAGGAATCGAACCTGGGTTAATGGAAGGTGTAAGCACCACGAGGGTGATGTAATCAAAATCCACTGTGATAACCGCTACACTATTAGACCGTATAATACTGTCCTACTACTTGGTCATATAATAGCCCATCAATCAGAATGCTTCGCAGTGGAGGAAATTGCATGATCCACGTTTGGCAGAGGATACGACGTGAACTCTCTACTTACCTTGGATCTAATCAATCATCTTCCAGCACGAGCGGCCAATTCCATGGCTTGAAACCAACGCACATTTGATAACTAGGGTCACACTGACGAAGTATCTGGAGAGAGGGGGGTAGGAGTGTATTTTCGTACATTATGAGGGTGAGAGACGCTAAAATAGCACTCCCAATCGTTGTATACGAAACGAAAACGGTCCCCGGAAATGTCACCAACGCTCCTCCTCATACTCCCTCCCTATAGTCTTCATCCGATGCATATCACGGAACGCCGACGCTTGGTCTTGTATCTGCGAGCAATTGGGATTCGCTGCGATGATGTCGTATGCTTCAGGAAGCAGTTCCTCGAGGTACTGTCATTACATGTCAGACCTAGTCATGGGTGGGGCAAGACGGTTCGTAAGTACCTTGACACGACTCTCAGACGTTGGATGAGTGGTCATGAATTGGGGTATTCTGCGTCCAGCTTCTAGTTGTCCTAACCGGGAGAACATTCTGGAAGACACGTAACGGAAGGGGGGAGTCAGTTTACGCCCTGAAGAGAGCTGGACGACACGCACTCCGGGGCTGCTTTGGGATCGTAACATGCTTTGGACATCAGGCGGAGACCGATGATATCAGCTATGGACGCACAATTAAGTGTAAGCGTACTTCGAGAATACGAAAGACCGGGTTAGAGGGTTACCTTCACGTTCTTGCGTCCTCGAATTCGGGAGGTCTAAGAGTAACGAGTGCAATATTGAGGAAATCCCCAAGTCAAGACCTGACGCGGCGAGGACGACCATGAATGCGATAGCGATGGCTTGAGATGAGAGTCGTTCAGCTGAATGTCTGGCGACTGTAGGTAGACGTCAACATTATGTAGAGAAGGCTTTGCAAACTGGTGAGCGCTGACCAACATGAGCGATTTCTGTGAACGAACGAAAAGAGGTCAAAACCTATCCGAGGGGATGCGAGAGAGACCAACTAGCCATGTGAGAGAACGGCAGCTAAACCTCGTTCGTCTTTGCAAACCGGTAGTATGCCCGTAAATACAATGATTGTTCCTGCACACATATATGAGAGTTGTGAGCATCCGGACATCCAAAAACGCGTCCAAAGAACCTACCGGGTAGCGCCGCTGCATTCACCATCTTCTTGTCATTCACAATAACAACCTCCCATTCGCGTTGACCTCCAAGTGTCGCATCAGAACGCGAAAAGTCATCGGTGGCATCCGGATTCCACACATCGTCCATCGGGGAATGCGCAACTGGATGGTGACTCTTGACTACCCCGAGATTAGACGCAGATAGTATCTGCGAGACAACGCGGCGAACGTGATTCGACAAGGGATGGTCTGGGGGAAGGATTTGGCCCTTGTATTGTTGATAAATTTGTTCTCGCGTTACGTCGCCTAACTGAAAAGATATCGTCCATCGGTGAAAGGGCTTTGCCATGAGAGGAGTAGGACAAACCTGAGCTTCGACACTAGGTCCAACGTTTATAAATCTATATCTTCCTGTCTCCGGAACCTGCTCTAAACTGGAACACTTGTACAGAGCTCATTCGCGATTCGTTCGAGAGGGATCATACGCACTGTGTAATATAGTAGAACACTCCGAGCCCCCCAATTCCCGCCCCTACTTTCATTGGCCATGTTCTTGAGTCGAAAAATCCCCGCGGTCCTTTTCCATTCCCTCTGGGTCCCTGAGGACTGGAGGGTATTTCGAAACGAACGTATCTCGGTCGTTGTGAGAGAGAGCGGTATGAGAAGTTCCTGAGGGAGAACAGGTTAGCACGTCGACATGATGACCATGCCCTGAACATTGCGATGGAATTTGAGCTTGAAGGTGGAGGTCGTGGTCAAGAATGATTCAGATTCTCGAAAAAGCGGAAGTGCCGGCTCGTGCGTGCCGCTGCTTGCGTAGCTCACGGCAGACAGGCAGGCATCATCGTCTCCTCCCCACCAACATCTTCAGAGCACCTCATTCTACGCACGGTCCGCTATTTCTGACAGGACTCGGACTATATCTTAATCAGACACAACTGTCATTCCCGGGTTTTTAACCATAATGGTGCGTCTCGGTTGGACATCCTGCAATTTTGGTTGTCGAAGGACTGACATTTTCCCCTCTTGTTTACAGAGTGCTTTATTCAACTTTCAATCACTCCTCCTAGTCATACTCCTCTCGATATGTACATGTGCATATCTGAGAGCTTTGGCTCCCAGGCTAGTTGACCGAAACAAGGAGGGGTATGCGTTCAATTACCATGAGAATCTGGGTCACGATTGAACCCATATTTTGCTCGCCTTTTTTGTCAGGTTTCTCGGGCTATTTTGGATGGGAGCTAGAATAGGTGTGCTCGCTCAAAAGTCTCACAAGATATTCTGTATCGTGCTCATAGTGTTGGCTTGCAGGAGAGCGGTTATCCCCATACGTGGCGCTGGCGTGTACTGCAATGGCTGTAACGTTGCTTATGCAGTGAGGGAAGGGCGTCGCATGGTATTGACTCGCCGAATACAGTCACCCTCGTCGCATTCGGCACTCATAGCGCAGGCTCTGTTGCGACACGTTTTTGGCACGGACAGGAGTAGATTGCGCCGAGTATGGGGAGGTCAGGAAGAGAACGCTATAGAAACTTTGGTGCTGTGAATGGTAAAGGGTATCAAACGGTTCTGGATGTGTCTTGTATGGAATTGGAAGAAAGGTGTGGCAATACTACCATTACACAAAGAATCAAGTTGCAGTCATCCATTTCACTTCAAAGCCATGGTTTCAGCGGAAATATCGGTCATACTCTCGACGCTCCATATCCGAATCGCTGAGGGGCGCAAGATTGATTTTCGACTCCCTGACCTTTCCCCCTCCAATCGCTGTCAATGCCATCCCAGAAGTCGGATTCATTGTCTACCCGCAACGCAGTACCTTCGTCCGGTTGAAACTCCATCATGCGCTCGTATTCCTCTTCCCGGAGCCTAGGTCTTGCAAAAACTCTTTCATCCCGGATATTCTCCGCTGCTTGCAGCCACCATTCACCATACAGCGAGTCAGCGTACTCAAAGACCAAGAGGAGCTTCTGTAGCCCGGAAATCTCGCCAAATGCACGCAGCACTTGTTGGATTGGCGATACACCTTGCCAATACCGACTCGGATTGCCATCGAAAAAAGTGATGCTGGGATCGCAACAGTCTATACGGATCGCTAAGTGTGTCAGGGCGGGGAGACTTCTTGGGCCTTCCTTGAGCAGACTCTGAATATCCGCATGGTTGATGCAAAGTCGAACTACCTGCTGGAACAAAGGGGAAATTGACCCAAAGTGGGCGTGTGCCCGAGGCAGGGGTCCCAGAAAGAGAGTCGATGGCACCGGCCATACATCGTTTGGTGGTCTGGCGGACACCATCTCGGACGAAGTCGAGCCCTCCCAGTCAAAAAAAAGGAACTTGATGTTGGGGCAGAGACTCAACAGGTTGGGAGTTGGCGAATGGATGTACAGGTTGATAACCATGCTCCCCACCGAACGCGCTCTTTTTCTTGATGCCTCAAGGGCATAGACGAAGTCTTGATGGCGATCAGAGGATACCACGGGGTTGCGATAAAGAACGGGACATATGTCTCTGTAAGCTGACCTGGAAACGCGGCAGAGCTCAGCGGCCAACGCGCAACTCTCTTTGGCCACCTCCTTCAGAATGTGACTAATGATTTCCCAAGGAAGTGGGGGAAAGGTGAGAGTGCAGGAGGGCTTCCGAACCAAAGGAGTGAGCCGTGTCCTTCCAACATGCCAACGTCTTGGACTCACCTGATCTTTCGATGGACCACAGTGTTTTCGGTCGGTGATAGGATTTTGCTAACAGCTCTCGCCGCCTTCTTCGTGACGTCGACCCATTCAATCCCTTCTCTCTCGAAATGATGATTCGCCTGGAGGTCGAACCTATCCCCGGCCCAAGCTCCTCTTGCAATGCACGAAGCACCAGGCCACGCGCGAACCTCCGCTGGACCAGGGAGATCTATGTCCTCACTTGCGGACCAACATATTCTTGAAAGAAGAACGGTCATGAGTGCAAGCCCTGCGCTCATGCCTAGACCCAACCCGTCAACCCGAACGTACTGCCGTTTCGACAAATTTCGCAGTACTCCGAATTTCTCGCTTGGTTTAAGACTTGCTATGGGCGACTGTCGTCGCTTGAAGGAGGCGCTCGCCAGAAACCTCCGGTCGGCCACCGTGAGCAATCCGCTAGGATAGTCGAAGATATCTTCTCCTCTACAGATGATTCGATCGCCGGCCCATGAAGTATGTGGATCATCGTTTGCGAGGACGTCAAAGAGGTTCTGGAGTGTCCCTTTCACGAAGAAGTGGCTTCGTAGGGAGCTCCATGGGCCCAGGGATTGCACCTTGTCGAGGTTGATGATTTCGAAGTGTTGCGATGACATGGTTGGGGAGTCTGTACTCCTGCCATCAAGGAATGCGACTTAAATAGTTCCAGAGAGCAGTCCGGCCACAGTACATGGTCGTCAAAGCTTTTTGTTAGCCAAATGCCACATATGACAGTGTATGGGGGTAACGAGTGAACAATGGTCGAGCACTTTGCCACCACCGCTTTGGCCATCCCAAGGCATGGAAGGCAGGGGATCTGGTCCCCACAAGACTCACATTCACGCCATGAATCCCGGGCATTGTTGCCTCACTTATACGCGCGAACGTGTATGTGTTATTGCCTCCGCCGGACCCCGCCAGTCGAGATCGCCAATCCTCCTCTGCTTCATGGCCATCCAAGGCCATGCCAATCTCAATTGCGTGCTTAGGATCGCCGAATACCTTCTCAAAGACGGAGGAATAGAGTTCGTAGGTCATCGTACAAGCTATGGGGGGAATCCCTCGGAATGTTTTGGATGAAACAAATGGAGAGAT